ACAAAATCACTTTCCCACTGAAGGAATAGAAAATTTGTACTTTTAAAAAGGGCAAAAGGAATATCTAAAAAGAGAACGAAAAGCCTTTAACCTGTATTTTCCTTATATTTTCTTTTATGTTCTAAGTTGTTCCTATTCCACTAAATTATAAAAGAGTCGTTTCTTTTCTGCATTTTGTCTTCCATCGATTGGAATAGAGCCTAAATTMAAAATCAGACGGCAAATGGCATCTGAGAAAATGGTCAGATTAGTGTTATAGTCTGTTGTCGATGTTTTTTATAGGATGTGAGTGGTTTAGTTACCATAGGCCGTCAGTGGCTAGTCATATAAAGTGCGTTTGTATCAGTTCTCAGCTGTTTTTGAGACTAAACTAGACTTTGATGTTAGGCCACGATATTCGAATTCTTGACAAAGTAGTAAAGTCATTTTTTTTTTCCAAAAAGAGAAACAGCTTTTAACAATGTTTCCTGYTGTGTTATGTATAGYTTCAAGATTGCCACCTGAGATAATTGCACAAGGGCCTGTTAGTGAAAGATCATATCGAAAGGCGTTAGAACATGGAGAAGTGAAAATCTATCGAGGATGTGTGAAGATAATTGGCCAAGACAGAGCAGGAAAAACTAGCCTGAAGCGGTCTTTGTGTGGRTTCCCGTTCAATCCCGAAGAAGAAAGCACAGTGGGGGTAGAGGTATCGCTATGTACGCCTGTTACTATGAACGACGTCAAGAGCTGGCAAATCAAAGAGACTGATGAGGGCRTAATAGTCGACGATGACATTGTTCGTACGATGGCCATGGATATCGAAATGCAGGTAAAATCTAGAAGTGCTTTTTGGGCAAGAAACGGTAACAAAGTTTATGTCATGACAAAGTCGTGTCCCTCGTTAAGTATATGAAATTGATATCAACAAAAGAGCAAACAATTTTTGTGGCTAGTGACTCGGAACGAGGCTCAAGTCACTATGCTCTCCTTTGCAAGTATGTGTGGCTGTAATTCGGAATATCTTGCTTTCTTGCCGGATATTCGTCGGATACCTTCTTACCTTTCCCTGATAATTGGGCTTCCTGTGTAATGACGTCACTTAATTAATGGCTCCTCATCCATGTGGGATGTTATGTAAAGTAGAGTAGAGGTTGTCGTACGACTTCCATATATKGATGTCCATATGGATGGCTCTAATGTACCTATAGAAGGCTCTCATGTCCCTATAGATGTTTCATTAATTATATATTCAATCTTATGTACATATGCGTGGTTATTCATGCATGCCGTTGCATAAATGTCACAAAAATTCAGGTTCACTCAAGCGAATTGGTCTCGTGGCTTATTGGTTAGGTTTAGGGAATATATCGGGTTAGGCAGTGCATAGCGCTGGTTCGAATCTTAGTATTCGTTCTTCGAAAATTTCTTTTCGGTTTAACTAAGTTTAAGTTTTTGAAATTTTCTAAGTTCTTCTCCACATAATTGGGACATCAGAGACTTCTACGAGCACTTCAGCGCCTTCTATGTGCACTGTACATGCACAACCATATATGGAAGTCGTACGACAAACCCTTCTCGTAAAGTCACTACTTGTTTTCTAAAGATCAGAAATCTACTGAGTCCACACACAATCAAAATTTCTAGAATGTATACAATCGTCCACGTGACATGTCAACAAAGTATTTAAAAGACTATACTGAAGACAACAAGGGGCCATTTCATTGCGCATGCACGATACGCTTGAGCTACCTTGGTCACAGTACTGTTTCGCAGCTCGTTCTCGGTNCTATTTAGGAAGAATCATATCCATGATAAATATGCTAATGTGGTTACTATCATTAATAATTATATATCCGACTTGTGTGAGAAAATACCACACTTATTTCATTTGATTTAATGTCCTTTGTTTCTTTGCTTCTGATATATCAAATTTGAATTTCTTAAAAAATTGGCTAAGGTTGGTAAATTTGCAATATTCTACCATATGATGCTCTGTTTTGCCTGTCATAAATATGAAATAAAACTCATATCCACTTGTTAAAGCTTGTTTTTAGCTACAGACAGGGGCTAATTCAGCTGTTGGGCACAGGGAGTTTGCAATAACCCCCTCGCCCCCTCGAGATTTAGTATATATGCTTCCTTTTATTTGTGTCTCCTTTGTCAGTMATGGTTTCTTGGAGAGCTCCCTGGCTGAGTGCCCTACACCCCTCCCTGGAAATAATGTAATCTTCACACAGTGCTTTATTGCATGTAACACTGAGTACAACAAATCTGCAACATTTCTTTTGATTTCATGTATTGTCATCTGATCTTCTTATCTTATAAAACAGGTGGGGAAGGGGGCTATAGCTTCCCAATATATTGCTCAGAAAACAAATTTTGAAATAGTATTAACGTTTTTTTGATGGAATCCGCTAATTTTTCACTACTCACTGCTACTCAGTCCCTGATTATTATACTTTATGTTTTATCAAGCGCAACAAATACGCGCGTCTGCCCCTAGACGTTTGATTGTTACAAACTAGGTCTTTTAGCTATGTTATTGCAGATCGATAATTTCTTTTTAATTTTTTTGTATTGCATACTTTATTACATTTTCAATTTCTTTATTACGCTCGCAAATAACGATGGAACCGAAAATATAGAGAAATAAAGGAATGCACGATAGCTTTTCGCTGTTGTGTAACAAATGAATGAGCGGGTAGCCTGTTGTGAGCCTGCAAGTAACAAWGCGACAATAYAGCTGCTCGCGCATGGTCATGCAAAATGGCCCCTTGTTACTGAAGACTGATTTTTCATATATGGAAAATGAGGTGACTTCGAATATCCATTTGCAATCCGTTTCCATCCATCGGTTTAACTGTCGAATCTTAAAGCATCTGAATTCATATAGGATAAAGGAATAATAAAGAGTAAGAAGAGTGCAAACATTAAATAATGATAATAATTTAATAATAATTTAATAAATTCATAAAGCACTATATAATTACACTCTATAGCGCTTAACAATATATGGTAGTTATTAAATGTGTGCAACACTTTCCACTATTTACTACAAAATAGTGTTAATTAAACAATAGAAAACAATAGAATTAGCATAATTTAGCAGTATCTAGTGGTATTTATGTTGCCACAGTTTTAGTGTTTGTACTCTATTATGATGTATTTCTATTTTCAAACATAACCAAAAGCTCGAAAGGGATGCTGGTGGACCTTGTCCCTTTAAAAATTCTTCATATTCTTTTGTTTACATAGACGTTTTGTAAGAAAATCAAAGTAATATTTCTCTTAATTTCTCTTAATTTCTATTTTGCTAACACTAGCCAGTCTTCTACGTATTCTTATGTAAAGATCGAATACACGGAATATGAATAATGACTCTTCCTAGCTACGATGTTAAATTATTTAATGACGATCTTAATATTTTTTGTACTTTTATCAACTCTCTATCATTATCGTTGCTGATACAACAAATTCACAAGTTTTTTCGAGAGTGTATTAGCAGTTATCAAGGGTATTTATATGCACAATGTATACAATCGTCAACGTGGCATTTCAAAAATTACGATAATTGAAAGGTTATTGCAACAAAGTGTTTACAAGCCCTTAACGTAAGCAAAAACTGTATCGAACGATTTCAGTTAATTTACAACACGAACACTCTTGTCGAGTATGAACTCTTTTTCAATACAAAAAAAACTTACAACAGTGTTTCAATAATACACTAGCAACTCTCGTCCGACTTGTTTTCTTTTTACACACGAGGACATGTCTGTCACGTGACACAATATAAATTGTAATAAAATGTATAATAAAATTGTTCCCTTCCTGATATTCTTGAATTCAGGTTTATATAACTTCTTCGTTTCAGCGTCCATTCAGGTTTTTATGTTAGTTACTGTAGTCTTTTCCAGGATCTGAGTTTAATATCTTGTCGGAACCGTCTCGTTACGAAAATTACCCTGGACGTCTAGTAGAGTAGGCCTTACTTCTTACATTTTTCAAACTGTATTTACAGCCTTGACTTCGCATATTGATGTATTTAAGCGAGCATTTGAGCATAGAGCATTTGACCGACAAACTTTGTAGCTGCTACGTAATCAAAACGTTCTGTGCATGCGCCATGGACTTCACTAGACTTTTACGTCATTCCTTGACATAGGGATACCAGATACTTGAAATTAATATGTTTTTCGTTACTTTTTTGTGAATGCTAAAGCTAAAAGTGAAAGTAAAGGCAAAACAAATAACTAAAAAAATGAAATCTTATAACTCTGAATTTTTATGACACTTTTCCTCATTCTTTTGCTTACATGCACTTCTTTTAAGCAAATGAAACTAATATTTTGCTTCAAGATCTATTCATTAGCACTAGCCACATACAGTCCTAGACTGCGTATTGTTTATGATGTGAACGTTCTGTTTCATCGTGCTTGTTCTTTATGATACGTAATGTGTAGCATTTATTTGAGGGAGTCATCTGTTATAAGTGCACGTCTAAACGACAAAATGTAACTCACTGTGATGTTGCTTTGAATAACTTACTTTTGTAATGCCTTAATCAACCTCTAATTCAAAATGATCAGATAAATATGGGATATATAATGTTACTTCGACAATATTTTTTCCCATCATATTCATTAAAACCTGGTTAACTCTATTTACATCTTTATAGGGACTTGACTTGACTGAAGATAAAGAGGGTAAGTTGAAATTTAATTATTTTGAAATACAGTAAGAATTACCTGCAGTAATGCAGTAAAGTCCGTGAAATTTGTATCAGTCCGAGACGATTATAGTTCCGATTCCAAGGATTTTAAGACATGAATAATTTGGATGTAAAAGTTACTTATATTAGTGATGATGCTTTTTGAAATAGGCGATGATGATGGTATCATGGGAAAATCTCAGCATGCATCGTTAAATCCAGCAATGGAAGTTTTGTCAAGACCCGTTGAGCAAGCAGTCGAGCCAACCTATTTAACACAGCAAGTCAGTTCTGAAAACATCCAGGAAGTTGAGCAATCGCAGGAGAGGAAAACCRACGAAACTCTAAAAGATTACCAGGAAACCGAGAACCAAGAGGTACCCTCGAAAAAAATACTGGAATCTTCATCAAAGCGGAATCTACAAGTATCAGAAGTAGTTAAGTATTTGCAGGAAAAGAAAATAGATAAGTCTATACGAGAAGGAGTTACGACGTCACTGACCGAGTATTTGAAGGAAAAGAAAATAGATGAGTCTATAAAAGAAAAGGAAGTCACCATAAGCATTTGGGATTTTGCTGGTCAACACTTGTACTACGCATCTCACCCAGTTTTCATGAGCCATCGGGCAGTCTATGTCCTGGTTTATAATCTTGCTAAAGATTTGGATGCCACGGCAGTCCCTCGTGTTCGTCAAGGTTCTAAGGACATTTTATTGGATAACGATAGCAATGATACTAATTTGGACGAAATTTTATCATGGATGGTATCAGTACACTGCCTTACGCGTTCCCATGTGGGCATTTCGGAGGATGTGAAAGACAAAAGGCCAYATAGAAGTCCACCAGTACTCATTGTTGGCACTCATGCAGACATATTATCTGATAGAGCAAATGAAAAACAATCTCTTATAGACGAGGTAGAAAATAAGCTGAAAAAAGAAATTCAGAAAAGAGAATATGGCGGTCATGCTCTTGAGCCATATTTTGCCGTCGACAATTCTGAGTCCTTAAACGACGAAGGAGTTCAAAATCTGCACAAAAGAATACAGAAGGTTCTTACGATGGAGCCTTACATCCCAGAAAGTGTACCAATTCGTTGGATTCATTTTGAAAAGGTGAAATACTCTACCTACTTAGGCTCGACAGTCAAATTGAAATGATAGTTACAATCGGAAAAAAAAAATACTTTTTGACAAGTACAATCTGACAAATGTTCTCTTTCAGTCATTACAAGTCATTGTGCAAGAAAAAAAGAAAAGATTTATGCCCTTACTGGATATTTCAAAGATCGCTAAAGACGTTTGCTTCATTGATGACGAAGACGAACTTACAACAATGCTGAACTTTTACCACGACCTTGGTGTAATATCATTGATTGGTGGCACAGTTGTCCTTGATATTCAGTGGTTGATAGACGTGTTTAAAAAGCTCATCACCATCAAACCATATGATGACATGGTAAGGTATTAGACTATTAAATATAAAATATTATAGGTAAAAAGTTAAACAATAACGGATTTCCGTGTTTGATACTCTGATCAAAATACTTGGGATGTAGGGTGAACACTCGAGAAGCTGGAAACCACTACATCCCTACATTCCGCGTGTTCTGATCAGAGCATCAAACACAGAAATCCGTTTTATATTTCTTAAACTACTGACACATTGCGTGATGGCTCACGTCACACTGTATGTCACGCAACGCACGTAACGTACATTATTTTCAACCTTATCACACATTTATCTTTGATTAGGAACCTGAAATGAAAGGGCATTGGGCACAACTTGAAAGAACTGGCAAGCTTAGTACGGATCTTGTGGATCATGTGTTTAGGTCGGAAATGGATTGTGGTGAGGCTAAAGAGGATCTAATTCACATTATGCAACATTATGGACTTATTGTTCCGATACGTCCAGGAACGGAAGAGGAGGATTACGACTTTTTGGTTCCTTCACACCTGACATCGTCACCTGTGATAGCCCTTAAAGATTGCCAGCCTTGTGAAGAAGACCCATGCACCTTATACATTCACTTTTTGGACGGTTTTATCCCACACGGTTTGTTCGGTCAACTGGTTTCCATATTTTGCTCTAGTTATGGAAGTGAAAAGGTGCCGAAGTTATACCGCAATGCAGCCATTTTTGTTTTGAATASCTCCCCGGAGATTTTCCTAACGTTAATATGTTGCAAAAGCTCCATTAAGATATGGCTACATTCGGAATGCATCGACAAAGCCGTTATTGAATTTGGGGGAGCTGAACTGAAGCGGTCAATCAAAGAAAACTTAGAGCACTTATCTGAAAAGTTTCCTTGGTACTCAAGCCTTAACTACGACTTCTGTGTAAGGTGTCCATTGTGTACCAAAGAATCGTCTGACAGAACTGACGAATGGCCTTTCGGAAAAGAGGACTGCTTACATCCGATCAGTTACTTTAATGAAACTTATTGCACAGAAAAAGGAGAACTGGTGGAGGTTGGTGGACTACATTTCTGGTATCCCCAAAATACAGTAAGTTGTAGTAGCTAAAAGTGTTGTGACTGTGATATGGTTTCCTTGAGTACAGAAAAAACAGCTTAAYAATATTCGAAAATTTTTAAATGAGTCAGCGGCTAGGCAGAAACGTAACACGAACGGCGTCGTTTCAATCCCGACTTTTAAAAAGCATCTTAAACTTACTTCTTGCATGATTATCTCTCCTATCGATCCAGGCAAAACAACCGCTTGAAGAAGACCGACAAAAAAGCCAGGAACTTATCGGCGAAGACATTGAACGTATCACCAAGGGCATGTTTGAAAACTCAACTGAGGATGCTCGATCCCTTTTGAAAGAACTCCGGGTGTTTGTGGACAAGAGGCGTGAAGCTGTTCATGCTGTAACGGATTTTGTAGTCTCTCTGGATGCTCTAAGCGAAAAAGCAGCAGACGATATGGACGAAGCTTCGATGTTCAATGTGAGGGTTGAGAGAATTCAAAAGATTCTAGTCGACGACATAGGAATGATGAGAAGACTCGATGAGATGTACGGTAATCTTTTACATGCCGCAGATATCCTTGTTCGATCAAACCCCAGTCTTGGCCCAAAATCACAAATCATCTGCTCATTACTCGTGGCTGACACATTTTCAGATACTGGAGTGGAAACGGATACTTCATTAGCATTAAAGTCTGCTTCAACAGTGTGCGACATTCTGTTTACTGGTAATGCAAGAACATCAGATGCAGAGGATGAAGCAGCTAAAACGACGAGTGGGAATTTTAACCAGAAGATATTGGCTGATCTTTCCCCAATGATGTCAGGCATATTTGATGGAGGTGTGATCAGTACAGCTAAAGATGCATTCGGTAGCGCTTCGAAGAAATCAAACTCTTCAGAGCTTGATAGTGACATTTCAGAAGAAGTCAAACGAGTTGTTACAACAGTGCGCTTAGACAAAGACGCGAAATCTGAAACAGCCAAAGTGCTACGCGATGTTGCCAAAGAATATGGTAAACAAATGCAAGAAATAGAGGAATTACTGGCACATCTATCGTGAGTGTATATGCATGAGTTTGTCACACCTCAGATTCGTTTTACATCTTTTGTCGCCTTTAAAAAGATAGTCTGTGGAGAGTCGTCAATCTATCTTAATATTTTATCATGAATCTTTTTGTGGAACATTTGACTATAAGTAATATAAGTATTAATTAAAATTGTTTCTAGTTTCACATCATTCTCTCAAGGAATCGAATCTTCTGACTGGGTGGATGAAGTGTGAAATACAATCTTCATTTGACACGAAATGTTCTCTTTTATGTCATTTAGTTCATTGGCTGAAGATTTGGAGATAATCCTTAAGAAACAATTTCAGGCTCTACTTGAATCCATTTCCAATAAAGCTGGAGCAACCATAGGGAATGTCTCTACGGTAATTTACTACCTTCATTATGACTTTAAACATTTAAACTATTGATTTCTCCCGCATTAAAACATCATTGCAGTCATGTCAAAACATCCTATAAGCACCAAATTTATTATTCATGAAATATTAAAATCAAAAAGAGTATTGGTATATTCATATGTCAGCATATCATGTCCAGTAGGCTTAGCTCTGAGACAAAATTGTACGGATGACAATGTTTTAAGTCTCTCTAACAGTTTGAGTTTGAGTTTGCTAACAGCAAATTTTTTTTCTAAATAGAAAGTTTCAGAGGAACCGATCAGTGAAAAGGAAAGTAAATACAAAGGCTGGCATAGCTATGATGAAGCAGAATGGTAAGAATCAATGCCTTGACGTTTTGGTATATGAGTGAAATTACCATGTCTTTTTATTCGAAACCCTATACTGTAAAAAGTCCTTATTACATTAATTACAGTTCGTTTTATTTAAAATTATAAAAAAAGGAAGCTAATTGATTGGGCTTTCTAAACTKCGAGGGTAGAGATCGTGTAACATGAGGGTCTTACATGCCGATGGTCGAGTAAAAAATGTTGAGGAAACGAGGGTTGAAAAACCCTAAATCTATTAAAAGTGAATAATAGGGCTCTGACGAAGAGTAAAAAACCCCTGCAAACTCGTACTCATTATAATGCATTTGATAAGTAAAAAAATCAGATATCAACAGCGACACAAAACTCTGTCTGATAAATCAGGAATTTCCAGACAGTTCTTACAACTTTTCATTTTATATCACTTATAACTTTGTTATAATAAAACGACTACTCATATAAATTGAACTCACACATTTTTGTCATGATTCTACTGGTTAATATTGATCTATTTGAATTAATTATCAGTTATTAATTATGTAAATTAGGTGTCGTCTCGTGTAGCTTGACAAGATGGCGGATTGCGATTCCAGGTCATTTCTCGGCGAGGCATATACACTTGACTAGTTTATGCAATTAATTATCATTATCAAATGACCTARAAATGAGAAATGATGTTTTGTCCTGCAAGAATGTGTAGTATAGATGAGTTATAATGRTATATAATTTGTCGTTACATCTAATGTTTGCCCCTAGAAGACCGCGTGTCAAATTAGTATTACAATTCTGAACTATTGTGAACAAAGCTTATAAAATTAAATAAAAAAACAAATGATTTTAACAAATCACTAATATGTTGTTAAGTGAATCTAATTTTTTTGATCCTATGAGTGGCATTATTGGGACAACATTCAAAGTTATTTCTTCACTTAACGTACCTTTTTTCAATCCTCGACTTTTTAACCTCGACGCTCGACTTTTTACTTTTTATCCTCGAAATTTTTTTCCATCGACGATCGATCTCCGAAACTCGACTTTTAGATGTACTAAAATTTAAACGAGTCATTGATGTAYATGTCCTTTCGTATTATACTCGTTCTTATACGCATGTCTATATAATAATACCGTTTTAATGCTTCAGTAAAGGTGCACTGTACAAAGTTGTGGTTGACCAAGGCATCAATGAAGACATCGAGAAAGTTGCAGAAGAAGTACGAAGGTTTATACAAGAACTTAATTTCTGTGTCGAAAATAGGAATGTTACGCTATCTGTCCTTAGGGATATCGCACACATTTTAGAAGAAAAGAGTGACAGTGTGCCAGCCCAAACAGAAATTGAGGAGAAAGGCGATACAGATGAGATGATATTGACTGAGAAGGTGAAGAAAGCCCAAGAGACGTTGAGTRTAGACAGAAAAACGATGACAGCTATCGATGACAGATATGAAAAACTAATGCAGAGTTCGGAAAATCTTTGTCGCTCAAGACCTGATATTGGTGGGAAAGATCGACTCATTACCACGCTAATTGTCGCCGATGTGTTTTCGCAATCAGCAACGAAAACAGATAGCTCCACTCAAGCCACAATTGCTGCCTGCACCATTTTATGGAGCCATTCAGCAGAAGGCAATGACCAGGAAAAATTAATTGCAAAAATTGTTTCCACTTGTACACCTGTGATGGAAGACGCTTTTCACAAGGGCGTGCTTGAGTCTTCCCGCAACGTCATATCGGAATACTTTGTGCCCAATGATGCACAAGAATGTTCTGAACTGGCATTTGATATACATAAACTCATTCATACTTTGGTAGAACTGAACGATGGTTCCCGATCTGGAGCATCCAGAATGCTTCGAAGTATAGTTCAAAGATACGACGAACAGCTACAGAAAATTGTGGAGTTTGTACAGTTGCTGCCGTAAGTGATTGATTGACTACTAGTCGCACTATGACTCAACGGCCACTTGTGTCCTCTGATATTAACACGGTGGGAGTTGAAGTAATGTTTCAAGTCCGACAATGAGGACTGGACGGGGTTTCAAGTCCGCGCAATTAGTTCCAGTCCGAGGCGTTAGCCGAGGACTGGAACTAATTGCAAGGACTTGAAATCCCGTCCAGTCCGAATTGGAGGACTTTGAACGACTTCTCATACTCATTAATTATTCGGGAGGGGAAAAAAGCGAAGGAAATACATATAACAGAAATATATTGATTTATTGCATCTCCACTAAGGTTTTCAGTTTTCATAATTTTGAATAAAGAAGCACCGTTTGTTGTTTTCCAATTCCCGAACGGCTTTCTGAAACAAAAGCTTTTCAAATTGTCTTTGTTTGCTTTTCATGGCATTCCTAATGAGCCTAATTCATAAGTTTTATAAGTATGTTATCTTCCAAGGAATCGCATCAGAAACTCGGTGGTGTAATGGTATAAGACGGCGCATATAGACTGGACGGTTCGGGATCGTTTCGTGAGGGAGTCATTTATCAAAGACCTTTTTTCACTAAATTAATTCAATATTAAGTTGATTATTTCTAATACTTTGATTATCATTAGCTAGTAGTAGTTAGAAAAAGCTAGAAGTAACTAGAATCAAGGTAAGAGTAACTGGAAATAAGATAGAAGTAACTAGAAACAAGGTAGAAGTAACTGGAAATAAGATAGAATAYARGSYAGGAGTACTTCCTCTGGTATCCAGTTACTGCACGTGGTACAAATTACAATCAGGGATTGGCTAGATACCTCATGAATAATTAATGAGTATGAGAAAAACACAAGACAAGCAAGCTTAGAAACACGAGCGTAGCGCCTGCTTCTCCAGTGCTTTTCAACTCCCACCTTGTTTATATGAGAGGACAGAGACACAAGCGGCCGTTTTATAGACGTTCTTTTATAATTTTGTGTAAAACAAATTTTGCCGTTAAGCCATGTCTGTCGTCTGCTATAAACACGGTTGTCAGCCCGTCAGAGCACGTGTTATATATCAAAAATTTTATAATAGTACATAGAGGTCGCCTCTTTAAAAACATTTTGTTGTTGAATAATACAAACAGTTGAGCAGTTTAAGTCTGGGCTTTTCCTCGTTTATATAAGGATCATCCAAGATGCTTGGTTATAAGTTTAAGTATAAAGTCAATGATTTTGTACTTTAAGGCACGCGCTATACGCCGAACTTCACATGTATCGAATACAATTCACGAATTAAATGCATGTGAGATGTGGCGTATAAATCAATTAAATTCGACAGAATTGGATTAAATACGACTTCAGTCGAATCTGCGACATGAGTCGAAGATACGGCAATGGTGCGGCAATTTATTTATACTCCGTATTTCACATGTTCCAAATGCAATACATACATCATTTTTTAATTCTTTTTTTTTGCGTGAGTGGTGTTTTTTTGTGGTTTGAATATATGAATGAAGAAGACAAGGAAAATAATGAACATAAAATGGAAGTATGAACAGAGGGATGAATAGATGGGGAAAGGAAGGGAAGAAATGAATGAAAAAACAAAGAACTTAATAACTAAATAACTGTAGAAGTAAAGAAAGCAAGCAAGAAAGAAAACCTAGAAACAAATAAGTACATTGATAAATAAAAAAATAGATAAATGGATGTAAGCGAAAATGTGTGAGAAAACTGAAAGAAGAAGGGGATCGGAGGGAAATGATAGTGATGAAATAGGTGGCATGTATATGAGCAGGGGAAAGGGGAATGATTGTTGATGACTGGATGTTGTAAGTGTGTGGGGTGATAGTAAGAGGTGAGTGGAATAAATGAGTGGGAAAGAGATGGAGAATGATAATGTTGAGAAGGGAAGGATAATAATGAACAGTGAATTTGTAAGTGTGTATGGGAATGGACAGGCGGCGAGAAGAATAAAGAGACGAAAGGGTGGAGAAACGCGAGAAGAAGAAAATGAGTAAAAGAGTTAGCATCGGTAGTTTATATAAAGGGATAAAAACAGAAACATGAAAAAGTGAGTTGTGAGTTTTTCGACCGAGAGGGGATTTCGTCACTTAAATTTCAGAGTCTATAAATCAAATGCCATATKATATTTAATCATTTAAGTCGGCTAAAATTAAATAGGAGTTGTATTCGGCACATGTGAAGTTTGTCGTATAGTGCGGGCTTAACATTKTCTTATTTTATTTAGGGTTCTAGCACAAGACTTGGAATCGATGCTTAAACTGCAGTCGAGGAACCTGCTTGAGACAATCTCCGCTAAAAAGCAAGTAGACGATGACGATGAACATGTTCAGAAGGCGAAACAGTTCTTTAGATGTTGTGGATTGAGCCAATCCTGGGTTGAAGCACATAATAGGTGTTTCGGTTCTCAAGATATTTCTGCTACAGTAGTACAACGTGTAGCGATGATTTACWYTTTCCTGAAACCTAAACTTGAACAGCAGTGGATTGGTACAGACGAGGCGTATAAATTAACATTTATTGCACACGGCAGTGTAAGATCACCTTCACTTCCTTCCGCCCTGAATTATGTGAATGATTACATAGACACTGTCACGTTATATGTTCCGTGGGGCTGTTTGCTTGACGCAAGTGCTGTTTATGGAATATCAACGGATAAGATGTCGATAGTATCCCCAAGATCAAGAGATATTATGTACAGTGGTATGGTGCTGGGAGGGACACCACGTGGATGGAATGTTCTCCCTGAAGATTCRACTCAGCTACCAAATGTCGTGTTCAATCCCGTCCGAACAAATGAAGATTGCTATATAGCGTTGTCTGAAATTGCCATGAGGATGGGAAAGGACTTAAAAGGTATTGTTGTCCCATATTTTCAACAGGTGGGAGAACCAGCTCTTCCTGAAGTAGAACTATGGATCTTATGCCTTTCTGTAGCCATCACAGTGTGGAGTCTGGAGGAGCAGGGTGTTTCGGGTGTCAAATTCAGAATCAATATTGCTTCTTGCCTGGCACCTGATAATKACGACGTTTTAACTACCGAAATGCATTCACCATATTGTACAGTTAACTGCCAGCAATACCGTGTTGTGCCAATTATAGTAAACGATCCAGTCACTATGAAGATGGAACTAAACCTAACAGATGAGAACATGCAGTCTATAGAAGAACATATCAACACGATAAATGAAGCACTTGGCATTGAATGATGTTTGAAAGATTGGCTGCGCTTGATGTCCATCGAAAAAAGTAATCAAACATATTGAATTTCCTGGACTGTCTATGATCAGCACTATAGCACTGACTCTCCATCGCACGACATAATGTCTTTTTTATGGCATGCAAATTATTCGAAATATGCATATTTTGAGTAAATCAGTGGCCACCATTTCGGTCTCTCATAACAATGCACCGCAAAATTTAAGAGAATTTAATTGTATCCTTTAATTCAGTATATTTCAACAATCAACTTGAGATGCACTTATAGATTTTCACACTTTTAAAGTACATAATGTACTATTGAGGTCTGCGAAAACAATGTCACGCTAGCAGGGTTCGGAGTTCAAACGGTATACGAACCAAAGTAATCCTACTACCATTTTTTTCCCTCGTGATTATAACCCTCCAACGAACAGCGAAAGACCGTTGTAAAAGATGTTCTTGAAATATAGAATGTCGGATTATAGCATATGAGCTGAAAGAGCTAGCAATTATCTAGCAGAAAATCTAAAGGTGATAAACAGGAGTCCCGGATTATAAATCTATTGCGCATGCYTYGCAACCTCTCTTGACGTCACCAAACACTATTCGTACCAGGGATTTTTTACACTCTCTTCCTATTTGGCACAGGAACGGCCCTAATACCAATCTTCAAGATTAAATATCTCGGCCCCGTTTTATCCGATCGCATTATAAAACACCTTAAGTTTTAACCCTTAGAACCCCGAAAATCGATCCAAATTTGTATCATTTTAGGGGTCATAAGCACTTTAAAGACTGATTTCGATCAAATTATGTTGAACTGTAGGGAAGATCGTTTCTCCAAAGTTCCAAGTTCAATTTGACGCTAAAATCTATTTGTTTAGCCCTTCCCAGAACTTCCCTTGCTTTCAAGAGAGTGATCGATGAAATAATCAGAGCCTCGATGGAATATAAATGTTAAGTGCACAAGTCACAGGCAGATTGCAGGACTTGGACACCTGCTTGCATGGCACATAGCAACACGATCTTGGAATGTAAAGCGACTAAAGCCAAATCTGAAAATTCCAAAGATAAGCAATGAAAAAAAACCACAACGACAAGTTTTTAATTTATCAATGTCATTTAACTCATCTGTTAATGTTTTTCATTGTGAGATTTTTTTGAGCTTTAACTACTTTATACGAAATGCCATAATTTAGTGCCGGAATTTAGTCAAAATTGTTCTTTAAACATTACCAGCAATTCCGGTCATTTCCGGTGCAACTTAAGTATTGCTACATCACATTGATCTTCAAAGTTGGCTGCTCAATTTATAGAAAAATGTATTTAACTTAGAAAAGAAATAGGAATTTTTTCATCGTAACATGTGGTTCGTTGCCGCACCTCGTAAACACAAGAGTATCATTTCTACATGAAGTTAGTGGTAATTTTGAGCTTTGTAATGAAAAAAATGTACAGACAAATTCAACTTCGAAATTACAACCGAAGCGACCATACATTCTCTGTATTTTTAGTCAAAATTAGCTGGATAGCCTTGCCTTATAAACGATTTTCTGCTAAATCGTTTCGAAACAACAACTTAATTCCGTACCTCCAATCGGTAGCAGCACATAATGATCCCTCTAAAACACCCTTTTTTAGCCTGTTCTTTGAAAGTTTTAAGCATACAAATTGAAGACGAAAGTTGAAAAAATGGGGAAACCTGAAGCCGCCATTATTGCGATGACGCCATTTTGCTAAACAGCCAGGTAATTTTATGTGATAGAAAGAAAAGCGCGCCAAAATACGATTTTTTTTAGTCCACTCTTTGTAGGACCTTTGTACTTTGACAGTACTCGATAGCGTATGTCTGATGTTAATTCAGTGGAATTAAGAAGATTGACCCCAAAATTGCTTTCAAAAGCCCTCCAGAAAACAGTGTAATATGGAAAATGTTGATGCAAATGTGTTAATGAGCAACCGCAGACCAAAATCATCGCGGGCACTAAAATGTCTCGGATTGCTAATAATGAGAAGATGTTTTTAACAAACGCGAAAACTTCACATACACTAAATAAATGATTGCACAGTTAAAACTAAATAAATGATTGCACAGTTTTGGGCAGTTTCAGGCCTTCATGAGTTAAATTAGTTCGATATAAGCGTTTTTTTTGTCAGTGACTTCTTTCGAAGGGAGAAAAGAGCAAAAGGCTACCTTCCAATTTTAATCATCGATCTAACTTTATTATTAACAAAAATCTTCACAGTCGGGAAAAAAGAGAAAGAAATACTCATTATGGAAAATTTCAGCTAGGTCTTCATAAATTAAAATGAGGTTGGCAAAACATTTGGGGTTTTGTGACCGCTTACCATCGGAATTTTCATTTTTTTATCCGTTCTGCCTTAATCCAAAATCGTGTTGTTATCTGACATCAAAGCACGTGATCAAGTCCTACAAATRGCCAATTGCATGATATAACTCCAGTTTATGCTTTGCTACAAAAGTAAACAGCTCTACGAAAATAGGCTGAAACCATCGTGAATGGCGGCTGCAAAGTGAAAACATTCTAAAACCATGCAGTTAATCCATAAATATTCAGCATGTTACAGACATTTTGAAAGTAAGACATTCAATTTGTAAATAAACTGTCCTTCATCATGGTCCTTCGTAAGTTYTAGGAGACGACCGCCATCTTGATGCTTTGAACAAAGGTCTTATGTACTCCACCAAAGCARACAATACGTCATAAGGAAAATCAGAAATGGTAAAACCTGCATTGTAAGCTAAGATATAATAAGCTCAATAATTTTGATTTATAAATAAAGCACTATAATAATAGATCAAGTCTCGCTGTTCCAGTTTTTTTTAWTTTMA